ATTTTTTATATTATTTATGATATGTAAAATTCTATCCTAAATTTTTGGCACGAATTAAATCGTCTGAAATGGACTTTATGCATGCTTTGACTCTAACTATGTTATCATAATATCTTAAAATATAATCTTAACATCTAATTATAATATTTAATGTGATATTCATTTAGTTTATTATTCAATTAATGTATCGCGCTATTACACTAACATATATTACCGGAAAGTTTATATCACAATATATTTTCGATACATCTATCTCTAAAATGACTGAAAAGAAAAAGAGGAAGAGAGAGAAATTAATTCCGCACATATATTTGCTTTCGATGCTCCATCGTACAATCTATAAATTCATAATTAACTTGCGAACGGTTCAAGATTCTATATTTTCAGGAAAAAAATGCGTATACTTCAATGAGTATTAATTCATGAACTTCGTGGTTTTTGTTACAATCGACGGATGCCCAGGTCATGGCGATGACCCAACATGTCACCCGATGAGAAATTTGCTTCGTTCATTTTTGCCAGTTGTACATACATAATGCATAAATATCAAAACAGAGCTTACGAATGTTGTAAACACAAGTGCAAGGTGCAAGGTGCACACGATTTTTTTGCAACATATACATATAATCGCATTAATTCACCGGTCGCGAAATTTCGTTAATTTTGTTCTATTCTCCGTTACAGCATATTTTTATTAATTAAACTATAATTTAGTCCATTTTACCTACAGTAGATTTTCGTAACAAACACACATGAAAAATCGCAAGTGGAATTTTTTATGCGCATATATTTGAAATTTCTTAGCTTTAATGAACACTTTAGTTTAATGTTGATTTTAACGCTACTATACTCAGTATGATGTAATTGCCACATTGTCCATTGAGAGATTTTATTGAGGTAACCAGAAAATTATATTTATTTTATGATTTTATTCGTTTATGATTATTAAATTGTGAGCTTGATATTTTTATTATGATATAATAATTTATTTTATTCTAGAAATTTATATGTATATGTCGCATATTTTCTCACATAAGATTACTATATTAATTTAAAGTTATCATTATCGATATGACTTAAATTAAAAATCTAACAATGGGATCTAATAGTTGAAGCTTAATAAGAATTTTTGGATGATGCTAGAAATATGAAGAACTCCCTTAAATGTGTCCCGTGTCTCGATGTACTTTAATATATATTTTCCTTGTGTACATATCTCGATTTTTTAAATATTTTTCATATTGCATAAAATTGTAAATAGAATTTACTTGAATTCTAACACGAATTATAGGTCGTTTAAAGTTAGCTTAACATGGGCTATTGTTCCATCATATAAGATATATGTAGCAATATCAGCAATTCATTTCTGTTGATTATACAACTTTAATTCTCGAAAAAAATCTCTCCGAGCGCTAAAAAAGAAATGGCATATTGTACAATACTTCTCTCATTGTCAGCACCACCAAAGTACTACTAAAGAATGACATATGTAAATTTATGGACGTTGCGTGACTGCGTAAATTCAATAAGTTACGCCATCACATAACATTAATTTAAAACTTATTACTATTCCGAATATTTCGTGTACATCTACGATAATATTCGATTTTTTATTTAAATCTACGTTTATCGTTGTCATCTGTGTTCGATTATTCATACAGATAAAAATAGAAAATGTAATTCTGCAATAACAGCGTCATAAATATGTACGCTTATCCACGAAGCATCCGTACAATAAAAATTATAAATATAATATTACATTATAAGCTAATTATTCGAATATTTGTATCGATGGCCGAAACAATAATGTCTACACTTTTCAGTTATCCTCGAGGATAACGGGCCCCTTCGTTAGTTACGAAAATTAACCCAGAACTTTGGTAGTATCTCGGTGCTTTCAAGTTACGATAAGAAATCGAATCTCCCGCCAACAACAGCGCAAAGGCAAATTGTCGTCGCAAGATGGCAGCAAGATGAAGACCATGCGGCGAGCTCAGATGTTCAGAACAGTTCAGAAGCTGCTCAATCTCTGTCAGTGTCAGTAGTGTCAGTGTCATCCAGTCACGTAAAGCGACAAGCGTCGCGAAGACGGTGGAAATCAGTGCGCGGGTGTCGATCTTCTCCAGTCGACTTTTTGCACACGCGTTCGCGCCAGATTCGCGGAGTGGTGATCGAATAAAGGGGAAAAGGAGTATGCACCGCGTCGCGCCGATTCTCTGACGGACGTCCGGGATCATCGCATAGGTAACTCTCAACTTTCCGTTTCTTTCTGTCTCGCTTTCGCGACGGATCGCCCGGAGCGACTCGCGTCGCGCCCGGTGAAAACGTCGTCCGACGTCTCGGAAACGAAAAGGGGGTCACCCCGCGGACGATACCGATCGCGAGATGATGAACGACCCGGTGCCCGGGCCCGGGCTCTGACCCCGCTCCGTTATGCTCCGTCGTCACGGAGCGGGGCCACGTGATCGGCCGCGCGCCGGCGGTGGCCGTGAATTGTTTACCGCGCGCTCGCGTGTCGCCATGGTGACGTCGCGCTGTCAATCCCGCGAGCACGTGGCGCGACTGTCCCAGCGCATGTCAGTCGACTTTGCGGGTGCGGAAGTCCGCTGAAATCCCAGTTGGCCGGCTTACTCTTTCAACATCGTTCGTTTGATATTTTTCTTGAGCTACGGGCAGTGATACAGTGACTTAAGGACGACCGTCGGTCGAATTAATCGCCGCGCCGATCAAGTTAATCGGAATTTAGTCGAAGTCGCTCTGCACTGCGATTAACTTGATCGGCGGCGCAGACAATACCTGCATTAGTTTGTTAATATAAATAAAATTATTAATTTCTTGTCCTTCGATGTGTGAAAAATTAAATTAGAGACAGCTAATTATACATTTGGAAATTTGCTCTGAGTAATTTTCGAGTTAATAACCGATTAAGTTAGTCTGAGTTTGGTCGAAGTCGCTACGATTAATTCTGGTTGGCAGAAGCGAGCCATGGAATTATTATAATTTGAATATTTACATACTTATCTGACTATACGTTCCTTATTCTTAAATCTTATCAGATACTAGTGCTTATGTTAATAATATAATAATTGTATCATTGTATGACACAATGCTGTTTAATAACTGCTGTGTCTTTCATCTCGCTAGTTTTAGAAAATTATATCATAATTGCGCCACATGTTAGGGATATTGTGGACTCAGCAGATTATCCATGGTTTCTTTGAGCATTTTTTGAAGTCAATTTTTTTTATAATAATAATAATGCCGAGACGATCATTATTTCAGTTTTCATAGATTTCCATTAGATATTTCTGGAATGTAGGATGACGAAAGAGATCGCGAGCTATTACTCTCCATTTTCATAGAAGGAGCGATAAATTCTTTATCTTGTTGCCACATACTGATAATTTTGATGATGAAGACTCTCTTCTCACGTATCCTTATCTAAATGTCAACGCTTACGAAGCAACTCCTAAACAATAAATAAAACTTTGCGTTATAAGTTATATTACAGCCAATGTTTCTGTAATCACACTGTAGCTACTGCAATTCTTTAGTTACAAATCGTTCGAGTAAAGTCTTGTTATTCGCTTTGCAATTCAAGCCGAGATTTTATTATCCATCTCTAAACTTTAATTCCTAAAAGGTCTTTAATTTTCAGTCCCTAATTTAGAGTACTCGTTTTTCAAATTATTCAAATTGTTTGAGATTTCAAATGTGACAGATAATAATACGTTGCGCAGCTCACTCGAAAAAATGATCGTCAACGTCAAACATTGTTGCGCGAAGTCTTCGCGCTGCAGACGCGCTTGCTTTGCTCCGCTCCTCTGTTCCCCATCGGTTTCCTCGGTTGCGGTTGCTGCTGCGGCTGCTGTTGCTTCTTCTTCTTTTGCTTCTTCTTCACGACCTTCGGCTTGCCCGAATCCGACGAGGCGTCGTCTGACGTCGTGCTCTCGCAGAAGGCGTCGCGACGGCACGTCCGCGTCCTCGTCGGCTTCGCGGCGCTCATCTTCGCCCCGATGGACGCCGCCGCGCCGACACCGCGAAACTTCCGGCGCGGCTCGAGCTTCCGCTGCGGTCGTTGCAATTGCTTGGACGTCGTCGACGCGGCCAGTAGCTTCAACGAGTCCGCCTCGATCGTCAGGAGGGAGGAGGTCCTCGCGATTCTCGCGTCGTTGCCCCGGGAATTTAGATTCACCGCCCGTTGCCAGTCGAGCCTCGCGTTCTTCCTCCTGGACGACTTCTGTCCGTCCGTTCGCGCGGCTGCCTTCATTTGAGACCCATTCCGCCGCGACTTCTTCCGTGCCTTCCTTGCGTCGTCCTTGTCCGTGTCCTCGGCGAGCGACTGCGTTTTCTTGGATTGTGGCCTGAAAAGACGATGCGCATGTTTTCATGTGTATTTTTTTCTAGGATTTCGAAGAGAATCGATGCACGCGATGCGACAAACAAAAAATAATTCTGACGTATGTCTAATTGCAACGAAACATGCAACGCGCATAATTTACGGACGCCGTGTGCGCGATAAGTCGAGTATATCGACTCACTTTAGCGTGACCTCGCCGTCCGTGGGATAGTGCATCAGAGCGTGTCTGGAGACACCCCAGCTCAACGGCGTCTTAGCGAATGCGTCGACGAGACGTTCCGCGTTGTTGCCCTCGGCAGTGGTGCTCGACACGCCCGTCCAAATCTGCCGTCTCAACGACGTTAGCTTGATTCTCACCTCTCGGCTCGTCGGCGACACCGGCGACTGATTTCTCAGCGTCCTGGACATACGAATCGACTGCGTATAATTGTACGAGCAAACGCATTCTTTATGACGGACGCTATCGTTCCAATTAATCGTGATTATTATTTAGAATAACAATCGGGAAGTTGAAGCTGAAGAAACTTTCAACGATTTTCTGATTGTTATTTTGTATACCTATATCGCAAAATATATTTTTTTTTTATATTTGTACATAACTTGAACAGTATGCGCGCATAATTTGATATCACGACATCACGGCTTAAATGTAGGGAAAACTTGCAACAATAGGAACAATAGGAATAATTGTACCGAAGACATCGCGGCTGTTGGCGAATCTTCCGGTGATCCTTTCGCGGTAGTAACTCCCCGAAAGACACGCTACGAGGTCTCACGATTTCCGGTAAGATCAGCGTCTCCTCCTGTCGTTCCTCTTTCTCGGTCGTCTCCCTCTCGGAAAGCTCGATTATCTCTTCGCGATATTCTTGCGTGCTTCTCCAGGCAACTGCGAGACACGCATGCACGATATATGATTAAGCCGATATAGATATTGATTTCAATATTTTTGGATGTACCGTCATATTCTCTTCCCTCGCTTCTGACGAAACTCTCATCAGCCGAATCGGTCAGATCGCACAAATCGCTACCTGGATCCGTGGTCGGCAAGTCCATCACTGCCCGTCGTGTCTGTCGACAATATAATATCCACGATTTAAAGAATATTTGTTATTTCCATGAGAATCAGATCCGTTTTTCGAGAAAAAGTATATAATCTTCGGACTTTGCGAACTTAAACTTCGGCATAATCATCGTAGGTACCAGATTTCTTCTACGCTCCAAGTAAATTCTTCCCGCGACGTCTCTTCGTGCTCTCCTTCTGTAAAGACCAACGCTCCTCGGTGGAACGAAGGTCGGCGACGGTGGTGGCACGCAAAGATACCGGCGACGACCCGCCAGGAACTCTCCGCCCTCGCTGGACCACGTAGTATCCGTGTACTCGGCTCTTTCCTCTTCCGACGAGAAACTTTCCTGTGAGACGTCTCCCTCGTTGCTAGAAAAATTCGATAACTCATATAAACTACTTGGAGAGATTAACATAGAACATATGAAATACGAATTATTAGAATGAATGTACCTTGAATAATCAGTTAAATCGATATTGGTAGGCTCCTCAGCACTGGACCCTTCCTTCGTCAATCTGACAATAATCTTATTTCGGAGTCTTTCCTGTTGGGCCACGTTTGTATCATTGCGGTTCGTCCTGATAAAATAGAATTAGCAAATTAAAATCTTTGGATGATATAATTTTTAAGAGCCTGCGTAATATAAACTTTTTATAATTTTTAAGTGTCTCTAAAGTCACAGCAGGCCGATGAGATTTATTGGACTAATTTGATATTACTTACCATGATATAACCATCCGAGAAAATGTATGCGTAAAAATCGAATAGATTCGTAAATAGATTTTGATTTTTGATTTTTATATCGTATGTGTACGATGCCTACATTTTTTTTTTTAGAAATTCATTGTTTGAATAAGGCGAATAAAGCAAGAAATAAAATTCGAATGCTATCGTTTCTTTCGAAATGTGATCGAAATATTAAACTGACAGTGTTACCTTCATGGGATCTTGATCGTAAAAATCGAGCAGGGTCTCGCAGAATGCCCTGCCGATCTGCTCGTAGTCCTGAATGGAAAAATGCGTTCCGCATCTAGAGCCGATTTTGGTGCCGCCCATAGAAGCCTCCATGGTGTAACTGTTCTGCACGCCCATCGACCATACGACCACTCTGCCCGTACCTTCTTTCCCCTTCTCGACGTGGAATTTACAATTCTCGAAGGAGAACTGGAACCACAGAATCAGAAAACGGAATTGCCAACGTAATTCGACAATAAATAGCGGTAATTAAAAGAAAGATCATTATAATCGAACAAAAAGTTCCGCGAGAACGATTGATTTCACTTTAACTTGAAAGAATTCAAATTAAGGGATTAAATAGCACGATTTCCGATATCTCGAGAGATACGTGCGTTTACGTTACCTTATCCGCTGCGTTTTTGTGAAGCATTAGCGGAAACACCTGCTCCGACAGCTTCCCGGTGCATCCGGTCCTCTTGCTCTCGCAACCGTAGGCGAATATATTGTGCTTCCTCGAGTGAGCGTGGAGATCGCAGTATATCGCCACCCCGCATTCCTCGAGGAGCCTCCGTATCATTAGCTTCGTATGCCAGACGGACGGATAGCTCTCCCGCATCACGGTCCTGTACTGCCGGTTCAGATCCTTCCCGGACAGGGAGCACCGATTGTTGCCCACTATGACGCCGTCCGGATTTAGCATCGGCACCAACTTGAAGACGAATCTTTCTCTGAGTTCCTACGATGAGATCGCGCGCGACCTTAGGTCAATCGTTAAGCTTCACGGCGTGAATCTCTCCGACATCAAGCGAGTTTCGTTCAACAGCGATATTTTAATCGTCTGTTAAATTGCGCCCGCGTGGTTGATATCTCTATCTTGGATCTCGAGCCGTTTCGGACCGATACTCATCTAGAATTGCGAAATCACGTCTTACTCTGGCTCGGTTCGTGTCGCCGGTGAGGAAGTCGATGATGCCTTTCATCGTCCAGCTCGACGGCGTCTCGCCGGGATGCACCCGGGCCGTGATAACGACGCCCCGCTTCCTGCGCACCTCCTCGTCGTGGGCCGGCGCGGTGATCGTTAGGTAATACACGCCGTTTCCGGCCAAGCTGCGGCACAGCAGACGCAGCTTGGCGAATCTCGTTTTCGCGGGGTCGGCCACGATTTTGCCGAGATACTCCTGTGGCATGTTTATGCGGGCAATTAGAGACCCGGGAGAGGTAGACCGAGATTTAATCTACTGACGTAATAACTAATACGTAATAACTACAATCGCCGAGACTGGGAATCGTTCGCGATGCTATTCGCGATTGTAATCGCGATAGGAGCGAGCAGAACGTGAAACAAATACCACTTTGTTCCATCACGATACCGTGGGGGGCAGTGTGGTCTAGTGGCATTTGTGAGAACGTTCCGCGCAATAATTACTAAAAGCAATTCTAATTTACTCACGTTGCTTTCTTGAGCAAAATGAGAATTGACGAAAATATAGTGAAATACCAGCGTTACTTTCAGTTACTTAGTCAGATATAATATTTTTTATAAGATTGCGGGGGTGCATAAGCGAATTTTCAATACCGTGATCGTTTTACCTGGAGATCGGTGTAGGTGTACGGGTAGCAGTGCGCCAAATAAACGATGTCACGATCGTGAGGGAACGAGATATTGAACGTGAGCGTGTGTTTTTCTTTTTCCTCGTCGCTTCTGTAATTATTCCGTGCTATTTTTTTTTTACCACATCGCGAGATTATCGTTGGAATAAGAAATTTTCTTACGATGAGTCGTTGTTTCGGTAATACGTGATGTTGTCGCCGCATCTTCTCCATCCTACGGATCGAGTTCGAGCGTCTTCGGTGGAGTAAAGAAGAGGCTTGAGCCCTTCGTTGTAAAGACTCTCCTCTTTGCACATATTTACGATTGAAAACCTGCAATCGTAACAATATATTTTTCAGAGAGTGAATTATATAAGCGATTTATATCACTGTTTTTTAATTCTCATAATTAAGGAAATTGAAAGCCCCGCGCGATTAAAAAGTCTGAAGCATACAAAAGAGCTAATAAATACAAAAAGCTAACAAACTTATATCACACAATATCTGAATTGTATTGTATATTCAAATCTGAATGAAATTGATTTTTTTAAATTTCTGATTTCCTGGAAAATGCAATTGATTGGTTTTTCTCTGTCGATCGGTCGTTCGCTCGTACCTGTATGTGATTCTGCTTCTCGTATTGGATACCTTGAAGTAGTACCACTGCGTATGCCTCTGCGTGTAGAGATCCCTTCTCAGATAGAGCTGGTAATACGTATCGGTTATTTTCACCACTTTGCCGAGGTTCCCGGACTCGAACCGCGACTCAAACCGCAAATCCGTGCTGTCGTCCTTCGGCCGGGGCATTTCGGCGACGAAGAAGATGTCGTTTCCGTTGGCGCACGCGGTCGATTCTCCAGGGAAATCCGACGGGAACGCCGTGCTCCCGCCCACGCAAGATCGGCTAAACTGCAGAGATAACAAACCCCCGTCTTTAAAAGTCCAGATTCGCAAACAGAGGATTTTTTTTTCAATTGGTTTCGCGTTTTAACTCGAACGAACTTGAATCGATCAAATATACGTTGCTTTGTAAGAAAGAATTAGATTATATCGGGACTTACGTAATTAGTGACGTTAGTTGGACAGTAACGAAATATCACCGTTCCAAGCTCGTCGCCGATCGGCTTGGGTCTCGGTTCCTTTCCGGATGAGACGTAGAAGGCTTCCGGCGTGGTAGGGTTGTACTCTATGTGACGAACTCTTTCAGGGATCACCTGAGAGAGATCGTTATCTCGACTAATTATATAATTACAGGGTGCCAGTGTAGCTTAGCATAATAACGGTGTAAAATAAATTAATGACTTTATAATATGTCTCCGTAACAAATTTAAAAGCAATTCCTATACAAAATCGTAATTCGTGTGAGAGCAATTAACATTATATACGGTGAATCATACGGGATATGCGGCAATTTGTCTTCGAGAGAGAAAGGTTGCTTACGATCTCGAGATAAAGTTACGGAAGAAGTAAAACGTAAAACGTGCAGGTGCGTTAATTTTCACCTGGCACTCGGTCGGCCACCTGGCCGCTTCCTGGATGCTTCCATCGACGATACAGCGCGCGTCGAGTACCGCACGAAGGGCCTCCTTCGAGTACCGATGCCTAGAAAGACCCAAAGGTATCGCGAACAATGCCGATTCCGCGTCTCGTCTCAGAGCCGAGCTCTCGTAACGTTCCAGTTGCGACACTTGCAGGTCTTGCGGTGTTAGATCAGAGAGCATGCTACCTGCGTCGTTAAAAAATAAAAAACTTATTATTCTCGTCATTACTGTCGAAAGAAAGTTACATGTTTGTTTTAAATATAATTTATCCTTTATCTCGCGCTTCATTTGTTAATGAGAAAAGGAAATTCGCGGCAATTATTCCAAATTTTGCTTGTTAAATTATAATCGAAATCGATGTTTGCGAAAACAATTCGAAAGTTTCCTACCGCACGGAATATTCCGAGTGGCTTCTTGATTGTCTTGATTATGTGCGTAAAACGTTAATGAGAAATACAAGTGAGTTTTTTTTTTATAACCGAACAAATATTGTAGACAATCATGCTGATCTGCAAACTAAATTATCCGCGAGATAGTGCGGCGTCATAATGACAGGTTTCGCATTAAGTTTCGAGAGAATTAAACGCGATCGTATGTTGCACACGGTAGGAAATCGATGGTCGAGTACAATGTCCGTAGGTTCGCGACCTCGCGCCTCGCCGACACTTGGATTATGTATTGTTACGAACGTATCACGCTTCCTTCTTCATTTTAGAATCAATTTAATAAGCAATATTATAAATTATAAAAATTGCGTTTCAAGGCCGAACGAACAATCAGTGCGTGCATCAAAATTATAAAGGCAAAGTGTGTAAACTTTACAAAAATTTATTAGACATAATTGTGTTTGTTTGTTTGTTTGTGTGTGTGCGCGCGCGCGCTATTTATTTATCTATTAAAATTTATTTATTATAGAGAATCAATGTGTTTGTCGGATAAGTAACGATGCTGATTTTGCCGTTGGTTCTGTACCGTCCGCCAATTATCCTCGTACTGTTAGAGTTCACCTGGGATAGGTTGAACCGGAAACAGCATAGCCTGGAGCTCTCTCACTCTGCTGCTCGACACCGGCTTCATCATCCTTCGTTATCTCTCGTCGTTCTCGTCCTCGTCCTGCTCGTCGCGATCGTCAGCGTCGACGGCGAGCGTCGGCGACGACCTTCCGCCCTTAGCATTCTCGTGCCAATCCGTGTAGTCCTCCCTCGTCGGCACTTCCTCCCCGAGGAGATACTTGACAATCGGATTCTTCATCCCCGCGTTCACGTTCTCGCGATCCACATGTCAAGAATCCAAATCACTTTTCGCAACAGAACGTGTCGGACGATTTTAAATCCCCAGCGCGCTTTAAATGATCCCAGATCTTTTTCTCTCACAGTTAATCGCAGTTAATTACGATAGCTTGAGATGGTATTTGCCTTATCGAAACGCAAATCTACGTGACGCTTTATTTATTCAACGCTCTTATCGGTGCAACAGTGCAAAGAGGACTTGTCCACACATTTGTCAGAGGGAAATACATCTGCTTATACGTATACTTATTAGCTGCTCTGTCAAAGCGTACTTTGTAAATTACGATTTCAAATGGCAGTGATTATATGTAATTGAAATTGATCAGAAAACAGACCTTGAACGAAATACGATTGCTTTAACGACGAAACGTCACGGTATTTCTTTTTTTAATTTTTTCCTAATACATTAACTCTCACTGATCGATCGAAGACTCGTACAAATAATACAAGTAAGTGAATAAATCGGGGGGTGTCGAGGACGAATAGACGAGCGGTTCACCGAGGTGCCGACGAGAGGGTGCAAGTTATACTAGGAGCTCCGCGCCAGACTTAGGGGTATAGATTCGACCTGGCGAACGCGGAAAGGAACCTGGCCCATTGCTGAAGACATTCAGCGGAACGTTCCCTGGATGATTGCCTGACAACCGTCGCGAATCGTGGGCGGAGCTACCCTCGGAACGATCGTTCGTTAACCGCTCCTCGTTTCAGAAGGCCGCCGGCGCGGCTCATCGATATAATATCTCGTCGGTAACTCAACTCATTCTATCGACGTTTCCGAGGTAAGCGACGCTCGTGGAGAGCTCGTTGATCGGAAACCGGCGGCGAGAGCTTCCGTTTAATAGATACGATCGGGGGAAATATGATCAAGAGCGAATTAATCTGAGAAGAAGGGGAGAGAAGCAGCATTGTTGATTTGAGTTTTCTTTCGTGGGTGATACTTTTTGAGCAGAATTATGCTCATTTTAATACACGACTGGTGGTCATCCGATCGGCGCCTGATTTTTCAGTGACGCTATGATGGTGATCACTGGTGATTGGCGCTATCGAAAGATAAATGCCATGTAATGTAAAATTTTGAATGACATAAATAGCTAGATAATAAAGTAAAGTAAAACGTATGCTGTCCATGATGATATAATTTTACTTAATTATATTATGCAATATTTTGTTATTATACACTTGTGATAATAAAACCTCTACTGTACACGGTAAAACGTACAAAACTCAGTCAACGTGTTAATTGCCCGTCGACGTGTTATATTTTAATTTAAAGTTTAGCTTGTTGCGCGAAATAGGCGATATTTTGCATGAAAGAGCATTTCTCGATATAAGAGTTCTATCAACGAAAGATTAATGAATGATATATTATATTTGGAAACCCATTTCGTTATTCTGTTAATTAGAAATGTTATTTATAATAGCGACATAGTAAATCGCGATTTAATCGTAAATATGTAAAATTTCCGACTCTCATGTACGTTTACATCTTTTTGCATTTTCTTTTGGTTCAGAGTTTAGATCTTTCTTCTTCCTTTTATTTTTTTCTTTTATCCAGACGATTATTTTTTTATTACGTTTACGTAAAACTTTTACATCCTGCGTCATTATTAAATTTTAATAAGGCTGGGAATAATTTCCCAAAGATAGATATGCGAAGAGAGATCGCGCGGTAGATAACGATCTGTAAGGGTTGCTACGTAAGATAGTGCCTACCTGGCCGTGCCGGGTTTTCCCGGATTATTGATCAATCAACGCGCGTCGGACTGAAGAGAACGGAACGTTTTCAGTTTATATCTCGGGACCGATCGATGGGATTCCAATTGATAGAATTAAGCTGGCAAGCTGCCGCCAGAAGTTCCATCGAACGCACACGCGACCGTCGACTTTTAACAGTCAGGATAATGATGGTGCTATAAATTGCATACGAAACGAGCGTCGAGGCATCAGTACGATTCTCAGATTGAACTGTCAGACTTTTCTCGCGTTCCAGTTCTTTGCACCTTTCGTTCGACACACGTTCTTTCTCTCACGTGAATATTTGGTATCAGTGAATGTTTTAAACGCTTTATAAGTATTTATATTTTTTTAAGAGTTTTATAAATATTAATATAATATTTATACTATTGGAGTTTAATCTTCGATTGTTACGTTACTATTTTTTGATATCAAAACTGTTAATTGAAAAAGCAATTTTGCACAATCGTAATTCTATAACACTTGTATAATTGTCTCGTGATACTAACTCTAATCTCCCGGCGTGTATTAAGTCGGTAGTAACATATGTTTATTTATTTCAGATAGGAGCATTCGCAAGTCTTGTTTAAGAATAACCGTTTGGAATATTATTCAACATGGGACGTACGGTAACCGTCGCCGTTTGTACGTTGAATCAATGGGCGATGGACTTCGATGGGAATACCAGGAGAATTTTACAGAGTATACAAGAGGCGAAGGACGCCGGTGCCACTTACAGGAGCGGTCCCGAGCTAGAAATCTGGTAATTTGATCGAAACTGATCTTAATTATTTGTAAAAGTGTTAACAAAATGTTATTAGCCGGCTTATTTGGAGGAATATATTTTCTATAATGAGATTACGAAATCTTTTTATTCGTACAATTATGAAATTATAATTTATAAAATTGCAATTTTGTTTTTATTACTTTTATTATTTGGTCCAACAGCGGTTACAGCTGCGAAGACCACTTCTACGAATCAGACACGTTGCTCCATAGTTGGGAAGTTTTAGCGACCATTCTGAAGTCCAGCGTTTGCGACGATATACTGATAGACGTGGGCATGCCGGTGATGCACAAGAACGTGACGTACAATTGCAGGATAGCCTTTTTGAATCGACGGATTTTGCTGATCAGGCCGAAAATGCGGCTCTGTGAAAACGGCAACTACAGGGAAACCAGATGGTTCTCCCCTTGGACAAAAGTAACGAAATGCAGGATAACACCGCGATCGTTTAAAATGTGTGGCCCGGATGCGCGATAATCCGTGATGTTTTTTTGTATTAGGAACGTACGGTCGAAGATTATTTCCTGCCGCGAATGATTTCGCAAATCACCGGTCAGACTGTAGTGCCATTCGGTGACGCGGTTATCGCGACGAGGGACACGTGCGTGGGTTTCGAAATATGTGAGGAACTTTGGCACCCATCCAGCAATCATATTCCGATGTCATTGGACGGCGTAGAAATTATTGCGAACGGTAATCATTATTACATAGGATGCATTTGACAATTTTTACAACTGACGTAGATTTCTTCTCCATCTTTTTCCGTTTACTCCCTACTTTTTTATTCCTCTAAAATTAAGACAGTTGTCAAAGGATATAAGAGATCAAAAGATGAGATTGTACGCTCACTTTAAAATTGCTTTTCTATTTTTTCTTCATCGTTTTTCTCTGAAAGGAAGCGGTTCGTACTTCGAGCTTCGCAAGGCCTATATCAACGTGGATCTCGTCAAGTCAGCTATGTTCAAGGCTGGAGGTTGCTATATGTTTAGTAATTTGCGCGGATGCGACGGCGGCAGGCTGTATTTCAACGGTGGTTCCAGCATCACGCTCAATGGCAATATATTAAATCGCGGACGGCAATTCGCTCTCGAGGACGTGGAAGTGACCGTCGCCACATTCGATCTCGAGGATATAAGGTAAAGGGTTTGATGTGGATTCTGACTTTTACCGCTTTAGTGGTGTCAATGCTTGAGAACTCTACCAAGCAGTATTGAGCATCGACATCCGGGTGTTAATGCAATTTATTTCCAGATAAATGGAACCCGTATTCCACACATCTATCTTGAGTAATAACATAAAATAGAAAATAATGTAGCGCAACGCTGTATTATCCCTTTCTAGGAATTACCGAAACAGCCTCAGATCGCGTTCGCACGCGGCCGCTGCGTCGCCTAGTTATCCACGTGTGAAAATCGACTTCGCGCTCACGCCAGAAAATCTCGTCTCGAATCCACCGGATCGACCGCTCGACGGAGTCCAAGATGTGTTCGGCGACGACGACGGGCACTCGAGTCTCGTGTATCACACCGCGGAAGAAGAGATCGCGATGGCACCCGCCTGCTGGTTGTGGGATTATCTGAGGTGTGCGAATAGGATACTTATTTCAAGATACTTATTTCTTATTATCATCATAATGAGTTGCTTAAATGTATAATTAGTTGAATAATATTGGTGTATATATCGTGCCTGTTGCATTATTTAACGATATTGCGTGTTTACGTTTTAGACGATCTTGCCAAGGTGGATTTTTCTTACCACTGAGCGGTGGCGTCGACTCGGCATCTTCAGCTTGCATCGTGTACTCGATGTGCGAAATGATCGTCGAATCGGTTGGTAGAGGAGGTAAGGCTCGGCTACGCTCTTCTCCTCTCTAACTACGGGAGTCTCTTTCAAATTTCGGAAATTGTATTTCGTATTCAGATACACAGGTCTTAGCGGATATCAGGAAGATTGTCGGCGATTGCGAATACATACCGGTAGATCCGAAGCAATTGTGCAACACCATCTTGGTCACGTGTTATATGGGAACGGAGAATTCGTCGGCAGAGACCAAGGCTCGAGCGGCCGAGTTGGCCGGTCAAATAGGGTCCTATCATCATGGGATAGTTATAGATACCGCGATATCCGCGATTTTAGGCATCTTCCAACAGGTTACTAAGCTAACACCGAGATTTAAAGTGCAGGGTGGTTCGCCTAGAGAGAACTTGGCCTTGCAAAATGTACAGGTAATTGCTCTTTGATCCTGACGGAACTAATATCTTGATTATCAAATTACACGACTCTATGCGTACAACCTTGCTTTCAGGCTCGGTTACGAATGGTGATCGCTTACTTATTCGCTCAATTAATGTTATGGGTCAGAGGCCGTCCGGGTGGCCTCTTGGTATTAGGTAGCGGTAACGTAGACGAGGCCTTACGCGGTTACCTCACTAAATATGATTGCAGCAGCGCCGACATCAATCCTATCGGTGGCATAGCAAAGAATGATCTAAAAAAGTTTCTCGTGTTCTTTAGGTGCGTTTGTATACGAATGATGGTATACACAGCGATTCTTAATACTAATACTCGAATCCAGAGCCGAAAACAAGAAAAGAATATCACGTGAACGTTTTAATTAAAGAAAATGTTCAAGGTGCCTTCCGTTGTAATGTATATTGTAGGATTGTCTTTAGATTGATTTATTACAATTCAGAAATTGAAGCATAAATTGATGTAAATGTTGCAATTATTTTATTTTAAATGACATCTTAAAATATTTAATAACTTTATTTTCACATAATTAAGAATCGCTCTGTATATTACGATGTCAAATACTTGTGCATAAAACTCAAGACGGTAAAAGTTATACCCCGCATTTGAATTTTAGACGTAAATACGGAATATCCGCTTTGGACAATATCCTGGAGGCGCCACCCACCGCGGAATTGGAACCGCTGCAAGCTGGACAACTTGCACAGTTGGATGAAGTCGACATGGGTATGACCTACAAGGAATTGTCAGTTTTCGGACGGTTAAGGAAACAGAATAAAGCTGGACCTTTTACAATGTTCTGCAGACTTGTGCACATGTGGGACCATTGTACCCCGAAAGAAGTGAGTGTGCGCTCCTCGTGCAAGATTCTAATCGAGTTATTTAATTTCTTTTTGAGTAAATTTGAAGAAAAAACTTCTCATTTCAGATTGCCGATAAGGTAAAGCACTTCTACAGATGTTACGCTATAAATCGTCACAAGATGACGATATTGACTCCGTCCTGCCACGCGGAGTCATACAGCCCCGACGACAATCGATTCGATCACCGGCCTTTTCTGTATAACCACTCGTGGAAGTGGCAGTTCGCGGCGATCGATGAACAGGTGAGAATTATGCCGGAGAAAGTCGACGCTCACCTCGCCTCGAATTCCAAAGCGTTGGAATGCGAAAGGAAACGCCGAGTGACCGAAGTAACGCCGCGATTAGAAGACTCGTGCGAAAATGCGACGCGTTATGGAAAGCAGTCTTGCATGCATCGTGGAACTTGGCGTGTCGTGCGCAGAATTGCTCGTAGAGCCTGAATTTTCCTATCGACGGGGTTTCCTCGTCGAATCCAATTCGTGTCAGCGACGAGAACCAGCCGGAATTAGACAGTATGTTAAAAGATTTCCGAATGTTTCGACATGAGGGTTAGCAAGCGAGTAGTTAATATGCACATAACACGGCAAGTAGTATAGAAAACACAACGTTAACGTGTAACGACACCGTCGACACTTCTTGCTACCCTTGGGAAATGATTTTCTATAATTTAACACTCAAGACGGTCGAATTCCTTTCAGGTGAAACGACTCAGCAGCGAAGAGAAGTCGTCCAGACCGCGTAAGGGTGCTCCAAAAGTGCCTGCCAAGCCCAGATACATGCCGTTCAGCTCCGTGATCAGCAGTGAGTAAACAAAACAAAGTGCGCGCATTAACGAAGCACGTCGAGCACAACGCATTTCGGCCGATGAAATCATCAAAATATTCGGCGAAAGCACCCACCGAAAAACCCACTCCCCCCGGAGCTGCACGCAGGTCAGGTCAAAATGACCGGCCTCGAAATTTCGTGCGCACACCTATACCACCGCGGTTATCGAGCTTCTCGCCGCTTTTATCGAGGAGTCATCACCGGCATCATTCTCTGTTGCAGATAAAACGCATCCTGGAGTAGTAGTTTAACCGTAGCCGTAGCACTCTCTTATCGTTTTGACATTGCAGCGCTGCGATAAATGGATGTGACATTTCGCTCTTTCGATTGTCGTGGACCCTTTGATCGCCTCTGGTATTAATATTTAGAGAATCTCCGCGAGCGAACAGCAGCGAGAAAGATATTTTGTGACATTTTAAATATGCGAGAAAGTAAATCTATTAATAAAGAGTACGATATAAAGATTTTCATATGTAAATTCTTATCCCGATATCTCTATACTTCCCAAAGTCAATCTGAGAATCCTTGAAAGTCCTGGATTAAAACAAAATCTGACGTTTTAGGCAAATGCAATTGCAATTACGTGATATAGAGATAATCGCGGTCTTTAATCCAAGGTTTTACTTGAAAAAGTTTTGCTTTTAAAAACCGTTAAAATTGTTGAATATATAACAGCCGTGAAAGAAAGTAGCGGAGCAGTTTCGGGAGATTGCAGCAACCCATTCATATACATAAGAGAGATATTACGTAAGAGCAACGCGAAGTGTGATTGTTAAGCGCGCAATCGATCGAGCTCGAAATATATCAAACAGGTACTTGTGTATGGAGTGCATACATAATATTAATTTTTATTACCTCTTGCAAACATATAAGAGCGCGTAACCACGTTTTACCGTTAGCTACAATTAATAACGATCTCTAATAAGTAGACACCAATGTCCGGGTAACGCAGTCGCGCTCTAATAGAATTTACAAAATCGCGAACGACACGGCACAGCACGTGGAACGTTAAATCCGTCAATTTTAGCTGCACTTTCTACATTCTCCTCTCCAAAGCTCCAATATCTATTTTGTCTATAAAATGCCGAAAGTATAGCTAAAGGCTGTGATACACGCCGTACAGATCCGCACGTATACTCCCATACGATATCCACGCATACCATCACACACTCGGTTTGCAATCGCACGTTAATAGCTCGCCCTAACAGTGTCCAGTTTGCTCAACCCAGGAGGAAAAAGTATTTTATCCCGCTGCATAGAAATGTTGTCTACATTCTATGTTGCTTAAGATTATTTTGTTTAAATCAGTCTGATTTTCGACGGTTTTAAGAAAATATGTGTATTTATATGTGAAGAATTTTAAACCTGAAAGGTTTTTTTTCAAACTCTGTATAGCATGATTACCTATATAAAATAATCAGTAACTATTAGATACCTAAATACCTAATAGATTGGGCAAATTGCACACTACGCCAGTTTCCCATTCATAATCTTTGCCCTTACGTATGTTCTGCAACAAGAAGATTGCTTCTGCAACCGGACAATCTGATAAATATTATACGGACTGATTTTTAATTATACGCCAATACTTCAATCGGCAAATACAGATATATTTCAAAATGGAATTCGAAATAAAATAATATAATTAAAACATTCACATATATTACAATTGTAATACGTTGTTTCGAATGGCACTTTGAAATATCTAATAATAATCTTATTTTCTCTAATTTATTACAATTCTGAAGATAAAGCATAAACAATCTACACTCATATATTATTTCTCTTATTTTCGACTTATTTTCGAGATTGAAGTATTCACATATAATTAAGAAGCACTCCGCATCGGGCTGTATATTCTGCATATGTGCAGAACTATCTATAATATTAAAATAATTTTAGAATCAATAATTAAATTTATTATTCAGCGCATGTAATAATAATATAATAATGATATAATAAAAATAAAAATAATAATAATAATAATAATGACAAATTATTAACTACGGATGAAAAGTTGAACGTCTCAGAAAATTAATAGCGTTTGCAAATATCGAAGTAACAACAAAGTAAAGGGGTGATAATAATTATGTCGATAGTCAAATCGATAAATTTGCTGAAGATGTGTAAAGTGCTATTATTTGCGACAATACTGAGCGTAAATTAAATAGTAATGGAAACATAGATAGCGTTATCGTTTAAAAATATAATGTTAATAATAATAATAATAATAATAATAATAATAATAATAGTAATAGTATTAAAATAATATGATGATAATAATACGCAACGTATTAACTTGTGATTGACAGTGCGCGACAAGTACTGTTATCCTCGAGTACTTTGCTCCAAGATGTAAGTACAGGAAAACCGTGCTGGTCCCCCTGCCCAGTCCTCGTACATTTGCTGTACAAGTACGTTGTTATGTATATTACTGTCGTAAGCAAGATACTAACGATCGCGGACTAATCGGTACCCGTTTCCGCCGCTGGAATGAAGACTATTTACAACAAGGTTGAGCGTCTCACGCGGCGGGGCATCAACGCCCGCGCCGAGACAACCGCGGGCTTAAGAACGAATACATGAATATATGTGAGAATTAAATATATATCGGTAGTCTGCTTAGAATCCTATACGGCGTATTTACATCATTCGATTAAGATTATCAAATCCTCTGAGCGCGTTAATTGTCGGGCGGGCGCGTCTCGTACGAGCCAAGGATGACGAATATAATTTAATCTTAAATACAAGTAAATTTTTCCGCATTTTTAATTATATAATACAATTGTAATTTTTATCGTGCAGTGAGCACGTTTTCTTAGTAGTCTAATAATAATATTGTGTAAATTTTGTATACTTTTTCATGTATACGGCGCCGCGGCATCATAAATGCCTTCCCGCTTAAAAGACAGCCAGGTCCGAGTCAAATAATAGATATCATTATTTGATCTATTATTTGACTCGGACGCGGCTCTCCTCAGGTAGGAAGGCATTAATGACGCCGTCTTACAATGTACGATATACATTTAAAAAAAAATATAAATAAATAAAGAATCAGATCTCAAATTCCTTTGTTTATCGCTCGTTTAGCTTTTATCAGATTCCGTAAATAGGCATTTGCAATTTACAAATAACATGTATTATCATCATTTGACAAGCCACAAATAATATATACTATCATCATTTTCAATTTCCTAAAAATGCATGTTCTCAAAATAGGTGACACATGGGGCGTTTACGAAGCCTCATACCTTTTCGCGCTCGCCCGAAAGTTGAAGGACAATGCTTTCGAGGTCATGTTCGCCAACGGCCCTTTTTAACCCTTTGACAAGCGCATTTTGAGTCACGTGCATGCCAGCATAAACAAGCCTATATACATATATACATCAGTTACTCTATAATAAGATATGTGACCTATAGTACAAATAAATACAAAAGACTAAACTCTGAAGTAATGAAGACGTAGGTAGCCTTATCGTTTAAAAATAAAAATTTCTCAATTGTTACGCCAACGAAATGTTACACAGCGATGGGAGCCAGCAGGTGGATGAAAAAATATTGCCTAAAAAAAGGAGAAGGAAAAAAAAGTTGTGCGTCGCGACCGCCGCGTTTCAAAGGATTAATCTTCTGGTCCCGAGAGATTAACTCGCGCCGCTCGCCGAACAACCGTCTTTGAGCATCCTAAGCTTCAGAACTCGTATGTTATTTCCCCGCAGGACAAGTTCGCGACGGAGGGAATCGAGCGGAATAAGTATATCGGTCACCCGATCCAAGTACTGCCACCTCAGAATTGCACGAAATCCCGTTTTGTGTGTAAATGTGTGCATGTGTGTATATGTGTGTGTGTGGAGTGTGTATACGACGATGCGTGCCCTCCTCCTACCCTTACCTACCCTTCTACCTGACCCTGAAAGAAGAAGAAGAAGAAGAAGAAGAAAAAACCATAAGCGCAAAAGAGCGGAAAAGCGAAATCCGGTGCATGGAGGAGTGAGTGGATTGTCTTGTTACTCTTATCATATCACAGATTACCCAAAGTGCACTTCGGTTGGGAACTTACACGAGTACTGTATAGGGGTATATGTATGTATGTATTTTATATATATATTATATATATACACTACCGGCGTTTAGAAAAATAATAAAAAGTGAGGATAATAAAAGCTGAAGTTTTTATCTAAAACGATACCGGTGTATCGGTTTGCTGTAACAAATATCAACTTGGAACATTTCCCTCGAGACCGAAAATTGATTTTAAAATCGAATCTCGATAATAAAATCGTCAATCGTGATTAACGGCACGGGAGAGCGTTTGTTTTAATTATCCTTCAACAATTATTCCGCTATAACGTCGGTAGCGCCAAGTTTTATTTCTACGATGGTACGGCGCAGAGTCACTTCACCGACGTGATCTCGCCCCGCTTTCGCGACACCCGGTGTTGGACGACGCGAATCCCTTCGATTCCGGTGCCTCGAACGATCGAGGACAATTGAGGCTTCAGGATGAAGGCCGCGATCGAAGGAATTCCCTGGCGATCGCGACGTCAAGAACCCCATTTCGCCCATCGAGTCGAAAAGCAACGTAACTCGCCGTACATCTCTGAGAAAAAAAAAGTCTTCCGTGTGATCGCACTCTTCTCCCGCCTCGGCACGCTCGCCGAGGACGATCGGCATTCCTGAAACGTTCTATCCGAGTCTTTGGGTCTGCTCGATGTCGCGCGCGCCTCTGGTCCACGATATTAATATTTATCACCTAAGATCTACATTTGTGATTGTGTGTAACAGGATATGTATGTATGTGTGTTGGTTTGTGTGCGTGTGTGTGCATACGCATACATGCGTCTGTATCCCATGCATCCTCCTGTGATCCATTATCAGTTCTAGGATTTCTTTAAATTAATCTGTTACGTAGCTAAAAATGCACCTACAAGAAGAAACGCTCTAAGAACATTTAAGAAAGAAATTCGAGACACTATCCCCGATAGAATGGATAGAAGCGAGATTTCGTAGCGTCGCAACGGGCAAGTTGGAATTGTTTTCACCTGGCAGAACGATCGTTGGAATTTGAGAACCCGACGCGCTGCCATTAGAACTCCGAGGCGCATTATTAATGAAGTTTCATTAATAAAGCTGCATTTTGTCAAACGCTGCAACTAACGCTACGACAGTACTACTTTTCGAGCATCTGTCTTTCTTCTTCGTAAAGCGGTAATCTCTTTCTTACCGAACCGGACAGAAAGAAAGAAACAATAATGCGCAAGCTTAATCGTACTTCGTCTCCACATATCGGCGAAAAGCTACAAGAGAAATACCGTGTACGCGACTTCGCGGTCATCGTAGCTGCGCGTGAAGATCTTCCCTTACTCTTATTCTTCTTTCGCCTCTTCCTCTCCTCGTCCTCTGCCTCCTCTACCGAATGTAAGGCGGCAGGAACTAATTGTTCGCAGATCCCACACGATCCCTCAATCGGATCCTGTCGCCGGACTTCGATGTTTATTCCAGTGTCACCGCAATGGGAGCCACTTGCAGGTACTTTACGCGCGAAACGTCCCTCCCTTTGTCTGCTCGATTGAAGAACGAACGCGTGATCAATCTCTCCTTTTCTCTCTTTTTATTCCTTTATCTCTCGGCCGGACTCTCGTTCTCGACGGATTTAGAAGCTGGTCGTGGTCTGTTGATGCGCCGCGCCGCTGCTCTTCGAGGCCGTCTCTCGTCGCTCCGCGAGGCCGCAGCTGTCCGTATTCCGCGAGTCCCGTTGTAACAGGCCACCCTGAAGAGTTACATCAACAAGAACAATTTCGTGTTCTTGCATACCGCGCTGTGTATTTTGTTTTGTTCGTTCGAGTATCGAAGCCTCCCTATATCAGACCGTCGATTAATCAACGGGTCTACCCTATCTTCTACCTAACACGAGACTCAACATTTAATATCGTGTCTATGCGGAGTCTGTGCCCACCTGGAGCAACATATTGGCGAAGTTACTATTGGTGAACTTGAAGTGCCGCTTGTCGTAGAATTTCAGCAATGCCGGACTATAAGGATGCTGCTCCTTCAGGTGAAGATAATGCACCTCAGGCTCATGCGTCGTATGTCCGCATTCTTCACAGACGTACATCTATCAAACAGACATATTCATGCGGATAACAAATTAAAATATACTCACATAAATCTATAAAATTATATCAAAATCATAGGGAGAGTTTTAGAATAATACATGTAAAATATTGCTTCGGTGAATCAGTCTTGTACAGTTAAATTTATTAAAAAGAGAGAAAGCCAACTTATTCGCGCTATTTTTTTTCTTCAAGACAATGCCTTCTATGAATAGTTTACCTTAGCGCGTCGCTCCTTATACGCGTACTGATGCTGAACTCCGTGAACTTTCTGGCCGTGACTCTCCAGTGAGCACCGTTGCGTGAAACTCTTCTCGCAGAGGAAGCACTTGTAGGGTCGCACACCTGTGTGCGTCCGTGTATGCCTCTTGAGATCAAACGTATCGTTGAAGCCCTTCCCGCAGAATGTACACAAGTAACGTTTCACGTCACTGTGACACTTCATGTGACGATTAAGAAGCCGCTGAAGGCTGAAAGTTTTGCTGCACACGCGACAGGTGAAGCGACTGGGATCGTCGTCCTATTGAGCAAAAGATCGAAGAGTAAGTACGCTATAACGTACTCCTTGTAATCTCGCGGCGTCGACTTAACGATTCGATACGATGGATTCGTTATGTCACAGTCATATCTCTAGTAATGACAATTGCGCAGACCTAACGCAATCCTTCGCAAGCAGCATTACCTTGCTAGGCGGAGTGCGATTAGTTCTTTCCTCATCTCGAGTAGCTGCCGCCTGTCTCTGACCCTCGATGGCTAGAGGATTTTTTATGCCGTGACCACCATTAACAAATTCTAGCTGACAATCGCTCGGTAAACCCAGCTACGAACCGATGAGAAGACACGTTAACTCTCGCTACGTTTTTCATGACGATTAGAAAAGATAACATCGGATGAAGCCCTCAAATTGACTGAGCATTGCATAATACGCGTGAGAGTGGGAATTAACAATCCACTCATTATCGATCATATACCGATTGGAACTGATCTACTCGAACAATTCGATCGAATCGAAGGCTTCGAGGAACCCGTAGATCATATCGTGGACGACACACTGAAGTGTCATCAACTCGATCCCATTTCCGGCCGGTAATATTGCGAAGAGATATGCTTTTGCCTGGATCAATTTGGGTAGCTTACCCTTTGTTGAAGTACACCGACCCGTTGCGAGAGCGGCGGTTCGTTTACCGATCCGGCGGCTTGAGCTGCGACTGTGGTGGGTGACACAACTGGACTATGCGCGTGTTCTCCCAGTCCGCATGACGGTGAAGTGCCGGTCGAGGCGCCGTCCAAGGAACAGCTCGCAGTCCCGGGGCTGGGTAAACTTCCGCCTACGCTGCTACCGGAGTCTATCTCTAAACCTATGAGATTAGGAAACCGAACCGTTAACGCGCTATTATTCCTTCTTAGTCCTAAATCAATAAATTAAAAATGTTCTGTTAGCGAAAAAGTGTGCCACTTTATATAACTTTTTTAAAAATCTTTTAAGATCTCCGATATAACTGTAAGTCTCAAACATAATATTTCAAAATATATTAAATTGACATAATTTTAAAGTCAGATTACTATCAACTTTTTTGTGTTCCAACGTTAATTTTAACGTTAGTTCGGTAATAGTTACACGAAAATATAAGAGCAATCATGATAATTCACCATTATTGAAATTCAATCCGGGACTCAGAAGACTTTGATGCTGTTGCTGTTGTTGGTGCGGCGACGTAGCCTGTTGCTTCTGCTGCTGCAGCTGCACCTGAATCTGCAACTGCTGTTCCTGCTGATGCTGATGATTTTGGTTGACATGCAATCCGAGCTCTGGACGTTCCTTTTGAAGCGACTGATAGCTCGTCTCACCGGCCGCGTAGCTCAATCCCGCAAGCTTGGACGCGTTGAAGTGTTGCGGAGTCGTATAGTGTCTAAGAAAAATGGTACACGATCCATCGTTATTCTATCCCGTGATTGAAATTTACGATCGGCTTTCAAACTCGACCACGATTACGATAAAAGCAAACGACGAATGTACAGAGTGTTAGTTAATCGACAAGCGCGAGCGTTTCTCACGATAGCTAAGCGTGAGCTCACCTCGTGTCAAAGCCTCTGGTCAAGGCCATGCTATGCTCGGGGAAAGGATCGACGCTAGGCTCAACGGGAGTGGTCATCTGACCGGCGTCTTGACCGATCCCACTGCTGCCGGTCGAGGCAGGCGAGTGTAGCGACTCCTCCAGGAGATCGCTGCTGCCGTCCTCGGTCTGCAGCCTGGGCAACAGAAGATCCGCCGCATCGTTGAGAGTTTCGAGGAGCGCCGTGTGATCAGACGGCGAGTTGAAGGTCAAGGTTGCTGCGGTGAACTGTAGCGGATCCACCACCATGGTACCAGTTACCATGTCTACCATCATGCCTGTATCGGTGACATCGTAGGTGCCATATTGAGTGGACAGCAGGTCGTTCGGCTGAATTTTGTAGCCCGCTAGCTCCTCTTCCTCTTCCTTAAAATTCAGACCGTAGGACGCACAAACGTTCGCGCAGACATTCTGAAGGAGAGAGTATTGTTTGCCCTCTTGCGCGTTGTACTGCGCGTGCTGAGAGTTATCCTGTTGCCCAGTGTCGCATTCGATCCCGACGGCCGTCAAAGGTGTGAGATACGCGTTTCCTGAAACAATGGCACGGACGATGATTAAAGATTGTCCTGAAAAAGTCATGAATTTTAACTTAATAAGCTTGCGTGCATGTGCACAACGTATTCTTTCAGATTTATCGAAAATCATATATTCCATGATAATTTGTGCACTACAGGAGCCAGATTTCCAAGGACGAGTATCGTGACTATGATAATTTAAAATGATTGATTATTTAAAGTGGGATATGAATGTAGAATAACGTCTTAAATTTGCTTAAAAGCATCTTTTTCATCAAATAATGATACCTTGCAATTCCGAATTTTGGATATTAATATCTGGATAATGGAAGTTTGCATCACAAATTTCAGAACTTCCGAAGACAGGTGCCATAATAATTTAATTGCGCGATATAAAACCTTGTACAAATAATAGCAAATATGGAACAAATTATACATGTATAAAACGAAAAGGTAATACCAACAAAAAATAATGCATGAAATAACTCGAAATACGACTTTTCCAAACGTGGGACGTACGATTACGATTTCGTACGGAGACATAATAAAAGACAAGATTTATTAAATCGCACGCTAAACACTCAAATTAGAACTGACTCGATCGGCCACAATCTCGCGTGAATTATTTGGAAATAAAGAATGTAAACAATATCTCGATCTACTGAAACGTCCTATTTTATTGTCTACCTCGATGGCTAAACAAAATAAACACTGCCAACTGACATGAGTTCAATCATACAAGTCAAAAGGATGCCATACAGGATGGCAGAGAGTTATTGTAATAAACGAGAAATTTAATTTTAGAATTTAGTAGCTTTAGCTAACAATTAAATAAAATAGCCACAGATAACGTTACTATCTCTTATTATTTTAATTAGTTAATTAGTTAATATGTATTTAATTAAACAAATGTAATAAAAAAAGCGTTACGTTTGCAAAAATTAGAAATGCAATCGTCAATGTTAGAATAAATCTAGCAATGAATTGTAAACATCTTTCTAATGAATCGTGTATCATTAGAAAGTTCGATGAGATATCGAGTAGATAAAGAGCCAAAATTGTTCATGTCTTTCTGACATGAGAGACGAGTAAAAGTGAGAAAAGCAACGTGCGCCCGTGTACCTTGAGAGCTGTTGTACTGATTGGCGAAGTTCGCGAGGTTGTTGCCACCCTTCAGGGACTCGTAGAACGGCGGCAGAGATCCCGTCGGCGGCGAACTTGGCCCGTAGTTGCCACGACCCCCGTTTCCACCGGGAGGCATGCCACCCGCACCAGCTCCCCCGCCCAGAGCACCGCCGCCGCCGCTACCACCGCTACCAATCATCGCTCCGTTACCGCATCCCCCGATCATAGCACCACCGCCGCCGCCGCCACCGCCGTTCGACGATGGTGAGGAATTGTTGGCACCACCACCGCCGCCGGAAGAACTGCCCGAATTCGAGGATCTGCCATGTCCCGCGGCCGCCTGCACTATCTGAGACCCAGAGAGTTTGACGGCCAGCAGAGACTTCGAGATCGAGGTGCTGGGGCTGCGCGACACCATCGCGCCCTCGCGACATTTCTCCTCGTCCTCCTCCTTTCGTTTCGGCACCGCATAGTCTATGGGTTGATCCTAGAATTGTCGTTAATATTAACTCACCGACATCATGCGTGATATCTTAATTTTTTCTTTTTTTTCTTTTTTAATCGTTCGAAAAACACCCAGGTGTATCGGTACACTTTTCTTTTTATCACTCAATGTTTTGCCTCTTTTTACACACTCTCTCTCAGTCTCTTTCTCTTTTAAAAGCACACAATAAGATATTAAAAGATGAGATTGTATTGATGGGATGTTATGCACTGTTAAAAGAAAAAAGAAAAATTTTGTTAGAACTAGACATATAGATAAAAATAAAATTTAACAAGAATATATAGAAGAGAATAAAGAAATAATTGCAAAAAAACTGAATAAACAATTGATAATTTTAAATACATAGTTATTAGTTGTGTCTTCTGTCTATTTCCATTTTATATACGTATGTGGTCATTCATATAATATTTGATAAAACCTAACGAAAAGAAGAATTTGAGTATTTTATATGTAAAATATAGGTACGCAATATTTTTAATTATATACATAACAATATGTAAAATACCAATTTTGAAAAAACTATAATTCTTAATTAATAACCAAAACTTAATTAACTACGTATCATTATCAAACATCCATTCAATTTTCTTATATAAAAAAAAAAGAATAGGTACTAACATTTATTAGATATATGATATTGGCGTTGAAGTCTCTTTCTCTCTTACTTTCTTGCTACAGTTTTCTTAATCGCTTTCTTTTGATTATTCTTTTATGTAATTAACCCAATTCTCAATTTTTTTCCTTTTTGCTAGATATTGATATTAAGTTTTCTAAATAAACATTTTTCAAACTGAAACATCATATCTGAATACCACGATCGTTCTTAATTTTCGATATAAAATCGGATCCATTCCTAACGGACAGATTTTTAGTTTTTACATTCTTCTATTTTCTTCTCCTCGTAAGATGTACATTCACATGCGAAATTACTGTGAATTATTGCGCAAATTTTCGTAGAATTTACGAGCTTTCGTACTTCAATATGAAAAACGACAGCATGCAAAATCGCAAGAAACTACTCGGCAGACCGCACGTTAAATAATGTTGTGCATAATACCGTGCAAAATTTTGCTCACCCTTCTTTATCTGCTTTGTCGCTATACATAATGTATGAGGCATTACGAGGAGGTTAACGAAATCCTGTCGAAATTAACGAAGCGTGACTGAATCAGCCTAATAACAGACTTCTGTGCTACCTCGGACGTACTTAAATGTCTTAAGCATACTTTTATTATCATTAAGATTCGTTACTTTTCAATAACCGCGAGATATAAAACGTTTTAATCCACTGAATTGCAATGTACAAAATCGTTGCCGTTGCCATACAGTCGAACGTGAGTTAGCTTATTTTATTAGTTGAAAAAAGCGTAAACATGCGTAAATGTATGATTATTCCAAACACGATGCGCTATTGACGAAAAATCCTCATCCAGCAAAGCCTTGAACATAATTTTTTATTTTCGCGATATGCCTAGTTTACCTGTTCCGGTTCGGGGGTCTGTATCGGATCGATTCTCTCGATCTCGATCTTATTCTCTTCTTTCCTGGAGGTGCTTTGCGGCGGCACCCTCTGGATAACCGAAACCCTTGTGGGCGGCTCGACACGGGGTGTTTTCGGCGGTGTTTTCGGCCTTGGCAACGCGATCTTCTCCGATTTGGACAGGAACTGTGGTGGATCGTCCGAGGCTATTGGCGGGCTGCTATACTCTTTTCGCTCTGCCCGAGTGAGCACGTGGCGTCGGCTGCCGTACGGCACATCGCCGCCGAGGATGCTGGAGATGAATCTTCTCGGCTGCGGACTAGTCGCATTGCTCGCCGGGTGCGGCGGCGACGGCGATGGAGCCGGACTGCTGCTGCGAAGGGATTCAGGAGTCGTCGCACGATCATCATCAGTCTTGTCACGATCTATTGTTGAAAAAAAGAAAAATATGATTTTTCCATTAAAATTTCATGAGTATTGTGCCAACAAAACTATTATTTGCTGAAACTTCTCATCAATTGTGAGCCATATCGAGTTAAAAAAAAAAAGCTCGTAGGAATTTTTTCTTGTTATTCTTCAACTGTACGTCAAAATAAATTTTTTAGTATGCTAATAATTAATTCGATTAAATAGATTGTGTTGAGGATTTGTATCTGATTCATCTTTCATTAATAAAATATACTATTATGACAGTTAAGTAAGATCTGGAGCTACTTATGATTAAAACTCAATTGACAAAAAAATTTTTGGTACATCATACAAATATATTCTAGAAAAAAACTAATTATTACCTAAACCTGTATTTATTAAACATTAATATCTTTGGTCAGTATGAAGTAAATTATATTTATCATAATCCAATTAAAAAATTCTGGAAAAAAAAACAAAGACCGCAAAGACAATTTTGGTAAGAGTAACGGAAGCATTTTCGCAGAAATGTCTCGCTTTGCTGTGTCACAACCTTGCTTCTGTCAGTTTTCTTACAATTTTCTTCGGTGCGGTACAATAAGCACGGAATCGTTGAAATTTGAGCGAGCTTCCTATTTCAAGGTTCGCACGACTTAGCACTTAACGCGCGACACGGATTTACGATCCTACTTGGATTCGTACGAACGCTGACTTGCGACGCAAAATGAGACAGGGATTGAATCTCGATACGTATATATGCTAGTCAATCGGGACTCGGCATACGTAATGCACGGGCAACGACGACGGTGACGACGATGACGGTCATAACCGTCGGCTGGCGGTTTGGCCCGCTGCTCACCGTGCCTGAATTTACGAGCAACCTTGAAGATTCGCAGGTACCGTATAGCGACTATACGGTCGCTTCGTCCTTCGCGCGCGTACGTGATATCCCGCTTTTCTCCTCGAGCATTTCTCAGAGTACACCGGCGAGTAACTGTCTTTAATTAGCGAATGATAACCGATTGCGGTACCGATTGTCTCCTCCCGCTGATATTTCTTTCGAAGCGAACAGATTTCAAGGGCCGCTCGATATCCTCGATCATCTTCAGCTATGACATCGAAATTAATGTGATTCCCATGATAAATGATTTTACATCACGAAATCGTTCCCAATGCAGACTTGAAGATGAGGAATCTCTGTAGATTCATCGTCGGCAATATCGATTGATGTTTAATAACAGCAGTTTTTTGTGTAATTTTTTTTTCGTCGCAGCGTATTTTTAGATTATAAAGGTGATCTGTTATTGAGTGTGCAGTGCATATAGTCTCTCGATTTTCGAGACTCGTCGAGTGCTTTTCGACGGACACGAGGACACTGCATAATCATATCGTTGGCGGTAACCAGGAAACTACCTGCGCGGCATTTTACTCTAAGGTCATTATGGAAAATATATTGAAGGAAGAAAAGACTCGTCGTCTAGTCACTCTTCGGCGATACTATTGTCATATATCTTGGCGTTCTTTCGTTCTTTAAAAACTATCGTGTATTAATAAGAGGCCATTAAACTTTGCTTGTGATTTATATTTCTTTTTTCATAAATTATAATTTCTATTTAATTAATATTAATATTATATCATCAAGAAAAAGCAGCGTATAAATACCAAAAGATCTTAATGTTGAAATTATCAGAAATATGAGGGTGTTAGGAAATTAACGAGTTTGTAAACAGAGCCACTAGGACCTCAAGGCACCCCGCCGAAATTCGGAATGTTCGGAGTAGACCGAGCGTGGAATTTAAATCCCCAGAAGCCCGGGGCGTCCTCGGGGAGGACGATATTTTCTCGATCTTCTCGAAAGACTCGTCCCTGAGCTCGAAATCAACCGGCGGCGATCCCGACCTCGAAATTACGAGTTAGACGAGGCGCCTAACGACATCTTTTGCGCAATCTCTTGCGTCACGGCTCGAACCCCCGAAGGTAACAGCCACGGCGGAGGCACCAAAATGGCGGTTCCGTTCGTCGGGCAACCTTCGATGGAGGGAACCGCGCCGCGTGCATACATGCGTGCATGCGTGCGTGCGTGAGTTCCTCTGACCAAATCCCCCTAACAGGTTCGGCCGCGCTATAAATACCTGCGGCGCAATCGTCGTGACCGGGGTACCGATGTACGCCTCTGCCTATCTTCGACTCTCTCTCTCTCTCTCTTTCTCTCTCTCTCTCCCACCCCGATTCTCCGTCGTGCTCGTTCCCCGTCCGGTTTCCTCCGCCTGTTCCCCGTTTATTCCGCGCTATCTCCCTCTTTCTCTCTCTCTCTCTCTCTTTCTCATTTTTCCTTTCGCTTCTCTTTCCCCTTCGGACAGCGAGAAAGAGAAAGAAAATGAAATGAGAACCGGTACATCGAGTCGGAATCGAGAGGAACGGGCTTGCTCGCGGAGCGAAGAAGACGAGGAGGAGAGATCGACCAGGAGAATCAAACGGCGAGAAAATTCCGGTAAATCGGTCTACTGCAATCCGAGTCGATTTTATAATTAACGATAATATCTCCTTCGTGCTTTTTAATTATATCCATTCAAAAAATTAGAAGAAATTTATAAGTGGTTTAGTTTTTTTTTTAAATAATTATTTCTCTCATTCTTATGATCAATAAGCACTTTTGACGCTAAAATATAAAAACATTCGATAAAATATGAAGCGATATAGACGGGAGCGCGAGATATATTGTATCGTTAAAAGTTTTGAAGACGTCGCGACTCGGTTCCTTAGATAGACGACGTTGTAGTTGCCAGCCAGATCGTAAGAGTGTTGAGACGAATGAGCTCGCCCGCGGAACGGAGTGCCTCGAGAGCGATCGAGCGGAGAAGATCGATGCCCGGACTCGGACGCAACGACTGAATCCTCACAATTCCCAATGCGAAACCCAGGGAGCGCGTGCTGGAACGAGCGGAGTACACTTCCTGATCTATGCGAGGCCTCGAGGTCGTTGCCATTACGACCAAGACGCTTGTCGAATCTACCCTGGGGCCACGTTTAGCGTGACTTCTGCATCCTTGACTCTGCCTTTCGTCGCGTATCGGCGTTCGTCCAATGTCCGTGTGAAGAATTCGTTATCCACGACACCAAGTTAAAGTAAAAAAAAAATTACATTTTTAATTCCAATTTAAATCCAAACCGCGCTTACAAACACGCGCGAGAATCGCACTCGACATTGTAACGATTCGGAGAGTATATCGAGGCGGTAATACCTTCAGCGTCGAATACAGAGTTTGGAATACGAGTCCGAGTCTTCAGCTATCAACGTTTACGGCAGTTTCTCAAGACTAGCGATAAAACACTCGCCTTTTGACGTTTACGGCGACCCGTAAATCCCGCGCAAGATGTGTATATATATATATGCACAATATATGTATATATAATGGAACGCCTCGATTACTTCATCATCCGACACATTGTTTCTGGTCTGTATGCAGATAAGCGCGATATATACGGCAGCATAAATGGCGAAGGCGCGAGTTGCTGTGCCGCGGTGTGTTAGCCGAAAGGAAAGGAAAGGAAAAACCTGAAAAAAGGACTCGAGAGCAGGGAGCGGTCGGCCGTAAGTAGGTCGGCTAAGCCGCGCCGTTTCGTTCGATCGAGCAGATATTACAACGGCAACGAAGGTGTAAGGCCTGACGATGCTGACGATGCTGACGATGCATCGTCCGCACCGGGCCGGGCGAGAGAACTCGCAACAGGATCTCCGCCTGAACCCGGTCGCGACCCAGGCTGCTTTAATGCATGGCAGGTTTTCTCGAATCTCGCGCTTCGATCTCGAGACGCTCCTCTCGAACATCTCGATTTATTTTCCCTTTTCCGCTAAGCTTGCAGAAGAAATACTATGCTCACTAATGTTTATACATTCGTGTACTGTAAAATCTTTCTAAAAAATTTCCTAAAGTTTCTTCACGCTCTCTTTTTGTTCTCCGAAATCTTTTCTCCTTCCTGTTCTCTGATGATGTGAATCTGATGATCATTGGATCGATATCATCGCATCATTCTGAGATGATCTAAGATTATAGCGACGTTGAGTCGAATCGGCACTTTTAAGCGCAATGAGATTCCAGGCAAGGACGCAACGGCAAGATCGCCCCGGAATCCGAGCCGATGCGTCCGCGATCGCGAGAAAGTGCGACATCCCGTATGCACGGTCTCGCGCGAGCCTCCACGCGCGGTATCTGCGTAGCGTTTGCGTAGCGGTACCGTGCGTGGGTCGAGTCGTCGTCGCGCGCGGACAGCAAGGTGACACCGTATACGCGGCCACTTGGTCGCTTTACGTAATAGACACGTGCGGTGCGCGCGAGCACGCGCGCGTATTTCCTCCGCCCTGCGCGAAATCCTCGCGCTTCCATGTTCGGAGCAATCTGCGTTTCGCGCAGCAAAAACGACGCCGACGATTCCTCCGCGGAAACAGCAAAACCGTATTAGCACGTCGTGCGCTTCGACAGGAATTACAAGTGCCACATAATCGTAATTAGATATTAACATGTAAACTCCGAGAGATATTGTTCGTGTAAAAAGGGTCTTTAAAAGGCCGATACAGCGATTTGAGTGCTTTTATCTAGAGTATCTAACTACACTGTAAAAAAATATGTAAAATTATGCGAATAAGTGTAAAAATCATGATTTGTGATGTAATTGTGTATACACTTTCGTGTGATTTTTGCGTTTACCGTTCATGTAATTTTACATATTTCTTTTATCCTATTCTTACATTTTTCCCACATCACAAAGAAAGTATACAAAATTACGTGAACAAGTGTAAAAATCACATGATTTATATTCGAGATGCAAGTGTAATATACATAAGTGTGCGGTTTTTAATATAACTTTTCTTACGGCGTACGTAACTTATTGTTAGTATGTAATCTAAAGACGTACAGTATAAGATAAATTGCTGTTTAGGTTGTTTAGGTGTTATTTACTGTTAGAATGTAAAAAAGAAATTATTTTATAAATAGACCAACATTGTTTCAAATTGATA